AAGGTAACATCAGCTGCAAGTACACCATTCATGTCAGTGCCTAAGGCACACCTCAGGACACACGGTCACCAGTGTGTTCTTGTGACCCCCAAACAGTAAATCAGAATATAAACAACTTTGAGGATACAGTGCATTTATACAGCCTTCAGTCACATATAGTTTCCATGTCCTGTAATGTCTAGACTATTTTAAAGTATATTTTCCACATCCTAATGAGCAGGAATATTCCAGGTTATTCTGTGCCTCATATCCCTCTGGTGTATCTGTGCATTTTCATAAACCTTCTCTACCCAGAGCAGAGAAACCATCCAGATCAGACCTAAATGGGAACTGTTTTCCTTGAGTGCTATCCCAGAACAAGCAAAAGGACACCTGGATTCAACACTTTCGCCTCTGGATCTGTCACAAAGGGAATATTTTCAATACTTGCAGGAATTTAATTCAAAGTGAAAACTGTTGATGCCCTACTGGAAGCCAGGTTGGAGAGAATGGAGCAAAGTGTCTGGGATATAGGGGAGAAGTGTTCTAAAGACATAACCTAGAATATCATTTCTGAGAAGGTTAAAACTTAGGTGAAAACATAAAGCAGAACCATCAGAACTAAAAAAAAAAAAAAAAAAAAAAAAAAAAAAAATCATTGCCTTTTTTTTTTTTTTTTTAATTTCTCTTAGAGAGAGAGGATGCATATAAATGGAGGACAGGGAAACAGGGACAGAGAGGAAATCTTAAGTAGGCTCCAAACTCAGAAGGAAGCCTGATGCAAGGCTGAGATCACGACCTGAGCCCAAATCAAGAATCTGATGCTCAAATGGCTGAAACACCTAGGTGCCCTGCAATTTCTATATGCACGGAATTCAGGAGAAAAAGATGACAGGTCCTCCGGCCTGGGATGCAAGGCTTACCTGAAAACTGGCCATTTCTTCTTTCACCTCCTCTTCAAGATTTCTTTCTCAGAAGAATTTGTGGAGAAATTCCAGCTGAAGTAGGAGAAAATGTCTGTAAAGACACCAACACAGCCTCTCCACCTGTAACCTGATCTCCTGCAGGCAGGGCTTTGAAATGCAAAAAAGGCCCAAGTTCCCAGTCCTTTGTGTCAAGAGCTATTCAGAAACTGTCATCTCCCACTTGGGCAGCAATCTCTGAGTTTCCCTCCCCTGTTTTCAGGGTGTCTCCCCTCCCACAGGAACCCACAAATTCTGCTACAGCATAGGAAGAGTGTGCTACATGGACCTGACCCTCCCCAACTCTTGTACAGGAGACCCTGTTACCTCCCTTTGAGGAAAAGCCTGCACTCAGCTCTCATAAATTAATGGGAAACCTTCCTGCTTACTCAGGCCTAACTTAGAATTTTGATAGGGAAAGATAGGATTCAGTAAGCAGAAAGGGAAGGATTAGGACCTGAGATCCCTGGGTGGGGAAAACACTTTTTAGAACAATGCTGGGAGTGTCTGACCACAGCAAACCCCCTCAGGTGTAAGGTTCCTCTTAAGGATGTAACAGTTACCACCGACTTCCCCTCAGGTTCCGATCAGGAATTTGAGAAATAATTTTGTATATCTTTTGTAATATGCTGTCTTCTCTGGTAAACATAATGCTTGAGTTGAAATCCTAGATTCTCCAGCAAGACTCATGTTTTTTGCTTTGTTTTCTTTTGTTTTTGGTAAATAGGTCTTGCTCTCTCTGGATCTGGTCAAGATTTTTGGAAAAGGAAAAAGCCCTGGCATGTGAAGAGAAAGGAGACAGTACCCACACACACAGGTAAGTGGGAATGAATGCACCAGATGACAGAGGTAAGGGCCAAAGATCAAAGGAGAAAACTTGACCTTAAACTGTGGTTTTGAAAGCTCTGCTTCAGTGGACTGATTCTGGAAACCTAGGTTTATTTCCGTGGTGTGTTTATTTCTCTGGTGAACAGAGGTGGTCACAGAGGGACTATCCTGTCTCCCTCTTCTCATGTTCCTACATCCTCTAAAGAATTCCCTTCTGTGCCAATGTCTTCCATGGCATTCACAGTGAAACCCAAATGCCTCTCCATGGCCAGTGAGGGTCTGTGTGATCTGAAGGCTATTCCGTTGCTTTTGGGTGCCAAGTGAAAATCTCTACACACAGGCAGTTTCTAAGTGGAGGCCCCAATGTGATTTATTCCTCTCCCACTTTTGGGTACCCTTGTCTGTTGCAGACATGCACAAATACTGGTACATCAGGAATGTGTGGGTAGTTTGAATCTCCCATGTCAAATAGTATACAGAGCAGCTTTCCCCATAGAGGTTTCCTTATTGACCAGACCCTGTCCCCCATCCTCAGAAATCTACCTGGGAGCATGGTGCTTGGGTGGCTCAGTCAGTTAAGCGTCCATCTTTGGCTCAGGTCATGACCTCATGGTTTGTGGGTTCGAGCCTTGCTTTGGATTCTCTGCTGACAGCTCAGAGCCTGCAGCCTGCCTCAGATTCTGTCTCCCTCTCTCTCTCTGCCCCTCCCTGGCTCACTTGCT